GCCTTTCATAGAGTTCTCTACAGAAAATTGGGACAGGGTAAAGTGCAGCGCTGACCATGTGTTTGAGTGTTTTCATGCTGTGTGTTTTGTGCTTTAGGGTGGGCGGGTTGTTCACTTCATGTGAAGCAGCTCTTTTAACACCTCCATGTAGTTGTTGCTGTGTATGGATCTCTAAGACCACAGACTACCTTGAAATACCAGCCTCGAATGAACTGAATAGCCCGTCTGCAAGCTCATATAGGACAGTCATAAGCCACCATGTGCTTGGGTTAGTCAGTTCAGACAGAGAAGCCTGTTGTCTGTCTGTCTGTCTGGCCTTCTGCTTCTGTATTCTGCAACAGAGCCATTTTGAGGACTTTGCGAAAGTCTTTGTTGGTCTGTGACAGAACACACTGACGCCACATATTGATTCCCCTCAGGCGGTTTGACCTGTGAGCCACAGTCTCTGACCCGCTGCTCAGCGCTGCACATGCAGGAGACGCTTACATATTTCAGCTTTTGGCGACATTTAATTGAAGTAAAATGAATTTAAAGGAAACAGAAATAAAAAATGAAATATTTGTAGATGACATATCAACTTATGATATTTTAGTAAATGTAAAAATGACTACATTTAATGTTGAAACTAATAATTTGTACATTTTCTAAACGATCATATTAAAAATGACCTGCAAAAATACTTTAAGGTAATGCGTTAACTATGGACTCTTATATTGTTTATTGATATAAATGAATATTAATATTTTTAAAAATTTAGTAGTATTATAATTGTATGTTATTTATTTTTAGAAATATTAAATTATAATTATAATATTATTTACATTTGTACTAGTCTGCTATAATGTACTAATAAACATTACTAACAAAGGGGAATATGTTTAATTAGTTATTAAATTATTTTTATTTTATTTATTCATTCACTCATTCATTTTCCTTCAGGCGACACAGTTGCTCAGTGTTGAGCACTGACACCTCACAGCAAAAAGGTTGCTGGTTCGAGCCCGAGCTGGGCCAGTTGGTATCTCTGTGTGGAGTTTGCATGCTCTCTTTCTGTTGGCGTGGGCTTCCTCCAGGTGCTCTGCTTCCCCCACAGTCCAAAAACATGCGGTAGGTGAATTGAACATTCTAAATTGGCCTTTGTGCATGTGTGTGAATGTGTATGTATGGGTGTTTCCTAGTACTGGGTTGCAGCTGGAAGGGCATCCGCTGTGTAAAACATATGCTGGATAAGTTGGCGGTTCATTCCGCTGTGGCGACCCCAGATTAATAAAGGGACTAAGCCGAAAAGAAAATGACATTTTTATCAGGGGTTGCCACAGCGGAATGATCCGCCAGCTACTCAGGCATATGTCTTACGCAACAGATCTTATTTAATTGATTTACATTGTCCCTCTCTCTCACCTTTCTGGACTCTGCTCTCACAGGATCTATCATATTTGTTGAGAACTGAGCTATGTTTGACTCCACGCCATTTTTTCACGAATGACTTTTGGGACCTCACTTTGTCCGTTCAACAATGATGTCTTCTGTTAACTGCTCTCACAGCAGCTAAAAATTGCTGGTCAATCGCTGGTATCCTCCTCATACCATGGACAGATGAACCTGGACTGTGGATTTGTTGGACATTCTCTTGATGGAACTCTCAACTTTCCATATACAGCATGCGCTAATGTGAAAACTGTCAGTATATGGCATTCAGCTTTTGATGTTGTGTCGTCTTTTTTAAAGTCTTTGTAGAATTTCTTTGTAAAATTATTTGATTTGTTTATTTATTTATTATTATTATTTTATGTATTTATTATTTTTTTATTAATCTTTTGAAGTCTAGGTGGGATGGGTAGGAGTGGGTTTTAAAATTTGCACTTGTTTTTTTATCACTTTATATTGTTTTCTGAAAAACTCAATAAACAGTTGTTAACAACAAAAATATGTATATTTAAGTTGTAAAAACTGGCAAAATACATAAAACATCATTATTAAACACTAAAAATAACCAAATAAAAATCACAAAAAATAAAACAGCATTTTAAATTAAACATTTACAACTGAAGGCACAATTATCAATTATGATTAACCGAGCAAGCACATTCTACACACTTTTTTTCCTATGAATTTTTATTATTATTATTATTATTATTATTATTATATTTATTTATTTATATTTTATTTTATTTTATTTATTTATTTATTTTTTTTGGAGTTTAACAAGTACAGTGTGAATTATCAATGACAATTTTAAATAAATGACCTGCTTCATTTACTTGTTGATTGGGCTGAATGTCTGTCTTTCATTATTTAAAAAACAAAACAGTTTTATTAACCACAGTCACCTATTGTGAGTTATTGTGTTCCTTAATGGATTTAAACTACTTGTTGAGACAAAGCTAGGATGTCAAAATGTGTCATCCATTCAGCCTCACCCAATTACACTCACTCTTTTGCACTTTTACCTCACAGGAAATTGAGTGTGGAGAGCAAAACATGCTTCAACAAAGTGAAGAAATCTCTATTGTCTATTGAAGCTCTCAGTCTTCTCTAGGGATGGTCAGGCTGAATAATGCAGTTCTTTACCAATTATAGACGTGTATTATAATATAGAGAAATGCTTGAAGTTATTGTACAATATGTGTGTAAATGTGAGTGTGTATGGATGTTTCCCAAGTGCAGGGTTGCAGCTCCAGGGTATCCGCTGTGTAAAACATATGCTGGATAAGTTGGTGGTTCATTTCACTGTGGCGACTCCTGATTATTAAAGGAACTAAGGTGAAGGAAATGAATGAATGAATGAATGAATGAATGAATGAAAACTGTTTAATATACTGGAATCTGAGGACTCTACCTGTCTAACTACTGAGAAAATTGACTTTAAAGTTGTCGAAATTTGGCAGTTTCTTAGCCAAGCGCATTACTAATCTAAGATTAAAGATCAGTATGAAAAGATCTTTGTTTAATATTCAAATGATTCACAATTTTTTTTTTATTAAAATAAAAAACTTCTTGAATTTTGAGCATGTATGTAAACAAAGAGGATGAATTTTGATGTAAAAACATTTAAAAAAATAAAATGGTTTAATTTTTACAATTATTTGAAAATAGAAGACTGCCTTAGAAGACTGACAACAGAATAATATTAAACCTCCTGAAATTAATTAATTAATTTATTTATTTTTTCATATTTATTTGTTCATATTTATTTATTTATTCATATGTGCTTATTTATATTTATATATTTCTTTATATATATTTGTTTATTCATATTTATTTATTCATATATTCATTCGTTCATTTTCTTTTCAGCTTAGACCCTTTATTAATCAGGGGTCGCCACAGCGGAATGAACCGCCAACTTATCCAGCATATGTTTTACGCAGCAGGTGCCCTTCTAGCTGAAACCCATCACTGGAAAGCACCCACGCAATTTCATTCACACTCATAAACTAGTCAATTTAGCTTACCAAATTCATCTAAAGCCTATGTCTTTGGACTTGTGGGGAAAACCAGAGCACCCGGAAGAAACCCATGTGAACACAGGGAGAACATGCAAATCCACATAGAAACGCCAACTGACCCAGCCGAGGCTTGAACCAGCGACCTTCTTGCTGTAAGGCAAATGTGCTACCCATTGCGCCACCATGCTGCCCTATTTATTTATTTAGTTATTCATATTTATTTATTTGATGGTCCTAGCCTTGGTGTTTATATGTTTAACAACAGAAATAGAGCCTGTTTGTTACTCTTCTATAGGTTAAATACATAAAAAAGAAAAGAAAAAAGACAGAAATAAGAAAAAGAGGGGCAGAAACAGTTTTTTAGGTCCTCTTATTCCCTCGAAGCACCGCAAATTGGCCTAAATACAATAATAACAAAAAAATAATGCAAAAATGCACATTTGTGAGAAACTTGACATTTTGTTTTGCCACAACTAATTTCTAATATTTCTAATGCAATTATGTCATTCAAAATGCTTCATGAGACTATAGTTCTTTCCCCCACTAAAGCAAATAATTAGTTTATTGGTCTGATTTTCTGCTTGATATCAAAGTTCGTAATGTTGTGCTTCTCTTTGTAGCTTGTTGATTTGGTTCAGTGCTTATAATGCTTTAACAAAAGGAAACAACAGAATGGGAAAAATACATTCAGAAGCAGCACTCTGCACTAACACTCTATAGCAGGCTGTTATTTTTGTTGCATAGCAACATGAATGCGTCACTGGCCACATTCTAGTGAACTGATGCCACTTAATGAATTTGCATTTTAATAATAAGCCCATACGCATGCATAATTTATATTGTAATATGAAGTTACTGGTTAATAATTTCAGAAAATATACTTATTGCTTGTTGCATTCCAAATAAAGTCACACTTAAATAGGTTGCAGTGACAACCTTGTTATGTCCTTTATATATTCATAATGCAGAACAGCCTCTGGTGTATGTACAGTGTGCGCGTGCGTGTGTGTGCGCGTGTATGCATGTGTGTGTTTGTTCAGAATTCAGACTTAACCTTAAATCTGTGCTTGAATCATCTTATCAGCAAGCAGAACACAGTACATTCTCGTAAACATGAAACACATCCTGTAGAAAGTCAACCAGCCTTTAAATGAAGAAGCAAAGCAATTATCTCAGCGATCTGATTAATGAGAGCTGGTATTTGGGTCTCGGTAGGAAAGCTGGATCTGCTGCTGCTGCATCCACTTCCCAATCATGATGCTGATGGTGATGCTGGGATGAGCAGGAGGAGGAGGGGGGAATCACCATAGCAATAGTGACGTCATCCCCCTTGCTCTAATTGGAGGAAACCCCGTGGCTTCAAGTCAGAGTCTACTGGGCAACCGAACGCATTGGCACAGGCCCGCCTCCATTCCCCGCGCTAATCAGCTATTGGACGATCGCGAAAAGAACAACGAGTGACAGGCGGTAAACGCAGCCTCTGATTGGCTGACAGGCGGGATTAGCGACGTTCTGTGGTAACACTTTCGATTGTCTTTCTCTACTACATTTTTTTTCCTAACCATCCAAGCTCAAAGGCTATCAATCCGGTGGAGCCAACTATAGATTGCGAGGTGAGGTGCAATTTAATGTGTTTAAGCCACAGAGTATGATGTGTGTTTATTATTTAAGCTTATGTTCTTATGTGTGGTTTATATCGTTTCATTGGACGGCGTAATCGGTAAAACCGCGCTGGTCGGTTGAGAGGCAGGAGGGGCTGCCAAACTGCGTCCATATCGATCAGGAAAAAAATGGTTGATTTGCTTATTACATTGTAGTAAACATGTATTTCCATTTGGTGTGCGATACTTGCGTCCTTAGAATGCATATTTGCTTAATATGTGTTGGCTAAAATTATAATATGTGTTGGACAAGATGAGACCCATCGCTGTTTAAGGCGGGTCGTCGAAACGTTTTTTTAAAACATGCTTTTTCAATACGATTTTGTTAAACGTTGATTTAGATAGGGTTGTATTGGTGTTATAAACTAATATTAAGTCTTAACGTGCGCATTTGTTTGGCAAAAAACGCATTGTAGAACGAGAAACCTCATTGCTACGGAAATCAGGCTGGATTTCATTGATTCATATTGACTCGGTATGATTTTCATCGGTGTGCTAAACTGAAATGTCCTATTTTGACATTAAAATTATACGTTTACATATATACATAAATAAAATCCCCTATTTTGACATTAAAATACGCATATATATATATATATATATATATATATATATATATATATATATATATATATATATATATATATATATATATATATGTGTGTGTGTGTGTGTGTGTGTGTGTGTGTGTGCGCATGTTTGTGTGTGTGTTTGTGAACAGGGCTGGGCTGTATGGATCACACTGACACAGATGTGTTAAGCTGCACACACACACTTGCATTCATACACACCCTGTCCGTGTCTTCAAATCTAGTGAGCTGGCTACCTAGACAGCAATGCGTGTCTGTCGGAAATGCGGTTTTGGCAGGCAGCTCGCTAGGATTTAAATCGCATCCACTCGTCTTAGCTGATCTCCGTGTTTCTAGTATGTGTGTAGGTAATGTAAATGTAAGATTCACGGAGAAAGCTTGATTTCAGTGATTCGAATCTTTTGAGTCATTTGAAATCTGCTTCATGCATTACTGATTGCATCGTTACGACAGTTGATGGCAACAATGTTTGCGTGTGCTTTGATGTGGCATCTACCGCCTTTTGCTTCTCGGAAGTAAGCTAATTATTGCTAAATACCTAGAAAAAAATATCTAGATGGGAGATTTCCTTAAGATTCACATGTTGTTGTTGTTTTTCAAGGCATTTGGCTAGCCCTGTCACATTAATCAATATATCGATTTATCGCAAAACATATGGACATGACCTCAATAATTTTAGGTGATGCAATATATATCGCCCATACATACCCAATTCTAGCAACATTGTTACAGATTGTGCAACATCTCTATCTCTATTTGAGGTGTCAGTATGGTTAAAAAGCGTGTTTTTACGTTGCACTTTTTTGTTAGGATTTATTATTATTCTTGTCGGATTTGACTTTTCACAATCTTATTCCAATGTCTATTTATTACATTATTAAAATGCCTCTAATAGGATTAAATATTCTTAAGAATCAAATATTATTCTTTGGAAGAATTTGATAATATTATATTGTCATTCTGGCATTTTATAATGAGTGTCATAAAAATGGTCTTATAATGACAATAAAATAGTTTATTGCTATATATTTTGGTGCAATATATCTTACGACAAAAAATATTTAACACTGTATTTAAAAAAACAGGTTTCTAATAAGTAACTAGATAAGAAGGTTTGAGACACGTGTTCAGTTTATACTGACAAATTTGTTTACAATGGACTTTATTTTATTCAGAACTTGAAAAAAATTTAATTACTGAAATTAACTTAAATTACTGAAATGAGCCTTTCATTTCTGACAGCACTCCTTTATGTAACACAAGAGTACAAAAAACAAATACATTTGTTTGCGCTACAAACCAGTAAGTTCTTGATCCTGACAGTACATTAAAATAATTTGATAATTAACACCACTTTAGAATATCATGCAGAATAACAAGGTCTTTTGTACATACAGCTAAAAATAACTAGAAGGGGAAGAAGACTCTGGAAGTCTTGCGCATTTAGGTTACAGATGACCATGACCACTCTTACGTTAAAAACAAGGTGGATAAATGAGTAATTGAATCATTCTCCCAACCAATTGTGTTCATTCAAGTGTGCAATGGCATAGTTGATTCAGTTACGACAAGATATTCCTGTTACACATCCAGTAAAATGTATTAGTTTGTGTGATAATTTTTACAAAGCAATTATCTCTGCCGCTCTTATGTTAAAAACAAGGTGGGCAAATGAGTAATTGAATCATTTTCTCACCCAATATTGTTTATTTAAGTGTCTGAAGGCATTGCTTATTTAGTTCACCTACGACTCATCCAGTAAAATGTATTAGTTTATGTGCTTCACAGCTTGTAGTCAAATGCTTCTTGTCTTCATAAGTCACTCATTTCTAAGAGGTAGACATCAGTATGTGGAAGTAAACAGAAAGATTTGTTCACAAAAATGATACCCAAATCAATATATTGAGTCTTCACTGTCATTATCTTCCCCCCCTCAGCCTCTCCAGGGATTAAGCAGCGGTTCATTCCCCTCCTTTGATCAGTCGAGTGTCCTATAGACCTAAAACACTCACAGACTTAAAGAAAAGCAGCAGGATGGACAGAACAGAGCTCATCCAGAAGGCGAAGCTGGCAGAGCAGGCAGAACGCTATGATGATATGGCGTCCTGTATGAAGTCGGTGACCGAAGCTGGGTCTGAGCTGTCCAACGAGGAAAGAAATCTGCTGTCCGTTGCCTATAAGAACGTGGTGGGTGCCCGGAGGTCTGCCTGGAGGGTCATCTCCAGCATTGAGCAGAAGACCGAAGGAAACGACAAGAAATTGCAGATGGTGAAGGAATACCGGGAGAAAGTGGAGTCTGAGCTGCGAGATATCTGCAATGATGTGTTGGTGGGTATATAGTTCCATATATAGTAATACATATTCTTTAGATAAAATTATTTACGAGATCAACGGATGAATTGTAAGAAAGAAAAAAAAGTAACAAATAAGAATGCAAATGTCTGCATTGGTGTTGCATGATTAATATAAATTTAACCAAAATTGCATTTAGTATACTTTGGCCATCCACGTTTCACAGCTGTTTATGTGACATCATTTTTATCACCAGAAAAGGCCCACAGACATCAATGCACAGTAAATGCAGAATGTCGAAATTTAAGTATACCCAGCAGCTCATGATTTAGTGTTTTCTAGAGTGTCAGAGCATTTCCGTTTGCAGTAAATTGCAGCAAATTGCACTTAGAAATGCAAAATGTTCCAACCATGTTTACAAATTTCTATTGAGAAGTGCTTAAAAACTGGATGTTGACAAAAAAGGAAAAAATATATATTATCAACCTTTTGAGGAAGTTGTGTAGCCCAACAAACAAACATGGGAAACCCAGATGTATATATATATATATATATATATATATATATATATATATATATATATATATATATATATATATATATATTTAAAAGAACAATCATTAATTCAATAATTTTCCTACGGTTTTGTCCCTTATTTATCAGAGGTCACTGTGGAATGATCCTCCAACTTTTCCAGCATATATTTAACACAGCGAATGCCTTTCCAACTGCAACCCAGTTCTGGGAAACACCCATACACTACAGCCAATTTAGTTTATTTAATTCACCTATAGAACTTGTCTTTGGACTGTGGTGAACTCCACACAGAAATGCCAATAGGGTATATGCCGAAGCATGCTAATAGGACTTTTAATTTGCCAGTAACCTGGGTTAACTGCTTCCGGTGAACTGAATGCCATTGCAAAATCGACGCATTTAGGGTCTGTTTTCTTTAAGAGTCAGCGATTTCCACTGGCTGAGTGATATCCAATATACAGTGGGTCTCATATTGTGTAAGAAGCACCGTTTTAAATTACATTTTCCCCCACCATGTCTTTATAATATAAGCATTTATTTTACCCCAGTATATTCAATGGAGCTTCTGCGCTAAGCTGCCGATTCTGACAGGCACGTGCGAGTAAACGGCTTTTTGTCTCGTTTTACGCTTGAGCAACTAAATGAATGCCAAAGTTTATTTATCGGATTGTATTTAAATTACATTACAACATCGAAGCTGTAACCGTATGGGAACAACACTAGCTTGGCATATACCGGTCCAGCCGGGACTTGATCCAGCAACCTTTTTCTTTTTGCTGTGAGGTGAAAGTGCTAACCACTGAGCAACCTAAAACAACATTTAGAATTTTTTATTTATTTTTTTCGTCTGTAAGGGTGCATTCACATCTGTTGTTCGATTCATTTGGTCCGGACCAAGGGCAATAAATGATAATTTGTTGCATTTTCTGCCATCTTTGGTTCGTTTTCACACCATACTACTGGCTTTGGTCCGAACCAGTTAAAAAGAACCAAAATGCAGTCATCTGACAAAATCCACATCTCTCATTGGCCAAATGATGTTAAACATAGTTCCTAAACTGCTTATCGATTGGTCAGAATTCACGTGCGGGAAAATGCCAATCAACCCGCAAATAAACAAAGCAGACACAAAATATCTCTTTTTACTATGGAGGGATGACTGCTGACTGATTGTATCCCTGCTTTAGACAAACTATACATTTCAAGAATGAAGTGCGGCTGCGGCTGGAAAACAACATTTTAATGCATCGCACGTCACTTCAAGAGGAGGCGTGAATTAATTTATCATTAATTAATTTAAACATTTTTCCTGCATATCCCATAATGCACAACGCATCGGCCTACGGCAGCTGGATTAGTCCAAAAGGGGCAGTACTTTTTGCGGTCGGGTCTGTTTTTAGTTCGGATCACATTCTCACTACAAACGAACCGCCCCAGGGTTTATTTGAAAGCGTACCGAGACCACCTCTTCTTTTTTGGTCCGCTTTTGGTGCGCACTCAAGTACGATTGCTGCATTCACACCTGTCCTAACAAACCACACCAAGAGGGAAAACGAACTCTAGTGCAATTCAGCTGAACTAAATGAGGCAGGTGTGAAAGCACTCTAATAGTCCAAATTATTATGCTGAATTTTTAGCTACTAAAATCATTTGAGCAAAAACTAGAACTGCAGATAATTTTCGGTAGGTGAAAGTTCAGTGCATCCTAAAGAGAAAACAATCAAAAACATGAAAAAGGATATGCTTCATACACTGCCCATCATTGTCAGCACTCTAGTTTCACTCTTCCTCCAGCCGTAGTCACGGATGCGAATAGCGATGTGCTATGAAACCCATTCATTTCAATGGTTTGTGCTGGCAAGGGCAAGTTGGCGACCAACTTATTTCAAAATAGCTCAATTTTACACTGTGTGGGTGGATATTCTGGTCATTTACATTTACTTATCTATTCATGAACCACACATGCTCACCGGGAAAGTGCCATCTGCTCAAATAATGCACAGACGACAGGACATTTTTATGTAGTATAATTGTTTCTGCTGTTTGCAGTAGCGCTTCTGTGATGTCATGGTAACACTGAAAAAATAATAACGCCTCTCCACTCTTCAATAATAATCACAGTAAAGTGTGAGTATTTCATTGACTTTTGTAATGTTTAGTCAAGTTATAAGTTAAATGCCTGAGAAAAAAAGTACAATTTAAAACCAAAATAGCTTTTGTATTATTAAGTAAAACACGAAATCCAAGATTTTCAATTTCGGTCTAGAATTTTTATTCCTGTGCATTCCTAATTATGCGTGGATATTTTTTAATAATGTACACTTTGAAAATAATCTGCACACATTAAACATTTTTGCTGTATAAATCACATAAGCAACAGTGCAGTTGTTATGAATCACTGCTGTGATTGGCTCTTATGAAGATGTATGTATTCAAGTGTATGTTATTCCATATACTACATATGTGCATTACACATAGCATAGTAGAGATTATGTCCTCTTTTCCGATGGAACAGCAGCCCAGTTTTGGCTCTCGCTGGAGACGAGGGTGTCTATATTAAGGGGAGCATGCACAGTCTTGCACAAGGACAGTCACCGTCTCATTATTTTTATATCCAGTGTGTGTGTAGTGATAAGTCCAATTAGACGCTGCGCAGTTTGCATTTTATAACCTTTTTGTATAAGCCTTGATATAATTGATATGGCATAAAGGAGAAGTGTTTCCTGATAGATCCTTCCCACAGAAGGAAGTGTTTATTTATATAATCAAATCATGGCTCTGGCTGTGTCTTTTACCTTGTTCGCAGAGAGACGAGATGATCAAAGTTCAACTGCGTGTGTGTGTGAAGGTGCAATTTAGTAACGCTGGTTGAATGGCTGCTGGGTAATAGTGAGCTCTGCAGTTCCCTTTTCTCAGTGTTTGTGCTACTGGGGAAATAATTCAGACTCATCTATTCAGACACCTTGTTTCTTTAAATAAATGCAATAATGTCTAATGTTGCCTGAAGGAGGTTTGCTCCAAAAATGGAAGCACTGTTATTTTTATTCTTTTAGGCCAAACTGATATGGTAGTATGAGGCTTTTCTTGTGGATCAGAAAAGCTGAAATATATTCATATAGAGAAGATCTTAGTTTATTAATATGAGACCGAATTTTATTAACGATTCAAAGACTATAGGTAATAGTATTGCATAGGGGTGTAACGATTAATCGTTGTACGATTTATTGCGATGCAAAAATGTCACAATATGCATTGTGGCATTATGACGATTTGATTACGATATGACATCCGTTTTCTCTTATTAGTTGAGCTGTTTGCACGTGAGCTACGTTCCACCTGCTGTCGCACGTGAGTTCAGATTGCAGCAGCAGTAATGTTAGCAGACCAAGATCAGTGGAGCTGAAATAGAGGATGGCCCATCTTCTCAAAATCAGACGTCTGGCAACATTTCGTTTGTACAGTCATTGCTTTAGACTTGTCCGCTTTTTGACACGCATACTGGGTCAAACATCCTAAGTTTTAAAGTCTTCACAGTGATTTACATACTTTGCACAGCGACAGGGATACCTCCTAATGGTGTTGAAAGAGTCACATATTGTATTTATAAGGTACAATTCACCCTAAAAATATCATTCTGTCTTCATATAATGTTCCCGCCGCAAAATCATACATGACGTTAGCTGACCGTGAGCTGTTACTACAGAGGGCGGACTTTGATAGACGCGCGCGTATGGCAAGCCGTTTTAGCATTTAAACCTTTGTTCTGACTATCCATAAATATATTTAGAGATATCTCTAATTATATTTTGACTAGTCATAATTATAATTCGACTAGTCAGAATGACAATTAGAGATATCTGCAATTATAATTGTACTAGTACGAAATCAGATTGGAGATATCTGCAAATATATTATGACTAGTCATATTCCTCCATTGACTTCCATTGAAAAATATTTGCAGATATATCTAAATGAGTTTTGACTAGTCACAATTGTAATTAGAGATATCTCTAAATGAATTAAACTAAATATGAATTAAATCCCTGGAAATGTGGATTTTTTTTGCACACACAAAAAAACGCAAGTGACCAAGCAAAGCCTTAAGCTCTTACTGTTAAATTCAATTGAATAGAAAGCTTATTGTTTTTGCACCTTTACTTAAATTGTTCCTTAATTTTGTCTCTGTCATTTCAATGATATTTTTAAAGAAGTTTTTAAATTGTTTTATTTTCCAGAGACAGGTCTGTTTAATATATTTTCTAAAAGAAGGTTCAGTTTAACAAGTTGAAACAAAAGAAATACATAAAAAATAGTTTACTTGGTAAAATTTGCATTTCAGTTTAATTTTCAATTTTTATTCCAAATACCGTGATACATACCGAATCGTGAACATTATATCGTGATACACATCGTATCGTGAGTTGAGTGTATCGTTACACCCCTAGTATTGCGAGATTCACTAATGGCTTACTTATATATATATTATTAGGGTATAGTTT